CATCTTGAAATATAGAAGTTGATCTGCGATAAACGAGTTGAATAAATAAAAACTAATGAAAATTTTCGAAATTCCAATTAAAAACCTAAAATAGGGCTTGTGATTTCAAAAAACAAAACTGTTAATTAACCTATTCCCAAAAATCTAACTAAATCAAAGTATTCAAACCCTAAAACCCTGAAATATGCAATCTATTGAATCACGAGGAAGGAGTTGTTGATCGCTTACCAGATTAAAAGATGGAGAGAGGAGTTGACCGCCACAGGCGAAGGGGTGTGACGCGTCGGTTGGCTATCAGAGAGAAAAAGAGATGGGGTTGGGGGAGCGTAGAGGAATTTGAGAATGGAGAGAGAGAGAGAGAGAGCAATTTTGAAAGAGGTCCTTTTCTAGTTCTGAGTCCAAAGCGGCGCGTTTCATGGTTTCTGGATAACGCTGTTGTCTAAGACTATTATAGTATTGTTTTTTTCAATGTTTTTTATTTAAAAATATATGAAAATAATATTTATTTTATTTTTAAAAATATATTTTTAATAAAAATATATTAAAATAATTTAAAATTATATAAATCTTCTTTTTTAAAAAAAAATTTCATAAACATTTTTTTAACATAAAAACAAACCCACTATTAACCAAAATACCATCGTAGAAGTTGATACTGACCTTTTTTATAATACACCATCCACAAGGATACCCGCTGCTTATCTTGTTAAGCAGATCGCTCTAATTTTTATCTCCTAGTAACTCTCCGGTGAGCAACTAATACTTGATCAGAGCCGTTTAATCTTCTTCTTCTTCCTTTTTTCCATGTATGGTTTAGATAATGGCCACGAGTTCCTCTTCCTATTTAATGCTTGAACACCTTTATTCAAGCAGCATTGGGCAATTATATTGGATTCTAATTGGCTAGCTTTGAAAGAAAAAAGATTCACCTATCATTTTCCTCTCAGATAACTATAGTAATATATATTATTTTTTCCCTCTTTCTTGAGGTCAAATGCACCAACACGAGTAACACGAGTAATGTTTAGGAATGTAATTCCTTTATTTTTTATATTAAAATATATTAAAATAATATTTTTTTATTTTCAAAAAAATATTTTTTAGACTTCAAAACTATTCTCGACATTACCTTGCTATGAGTTGAGAGTCGTTGTTTACTTGAAGAAAACATGCATTGAGAGCCTTGGCTAAGTTAAGACTAGCCAATAGTTCTTAGTATTCGACCATGGTGTTTAAGGTAAGTAATTAAAAAATAAAGTTTATACTAAAACATTTACCCTTAAGGCTTGTCAAAACCATCATGACTCCATATACATTAGTATTGGAGGAGAAATATTAATTGAAACATAAATATCAAAATTATTAAAAATTTATTTAGAAAAAGGGTATCAATTGATAAACAATTATAATAAAAAAATAATGTCGAATCATTATAAATATTATCTAAAAATAAATATATTTTTGTTTTTAGAAATAAAATTCATTTATATAAAATATATATAAAAAATTACAAATCAATCAAAATAATATCTTCAAAAATTAAGAATATACAAAACAATTTTAAAAAAACTTTATTTAAAAATGCGTAAATAAGCAAGATAAAAAGATATTAATTTAAATAAAAATTAAAAAATTATTAAGAAAGGTATCAAAATATTTAAAAAACAAGAGAAAATTAATATTAAACAAAGAAATCAGAAAAAGAGATTGAGCTAAAAAAAGATGTTAAACATTTTAATTTTTCAAACTTGTGATTCCGATCATTAAACCAAAAAAATCATAAATAAATAAAAACTAGAAAACTCAATTCTCAGCAAAGTAAACACTAAATGACGAGGTCAAGAAAAAAAATTACACAGAAGAATTTAAAATAGAAAATTATGATTAAAAAAATTATGATGAAAATCAAAATAAAAAATAAATGAGAGGGACATTTTGTTTTATTGGAGGTTTAAATTGAAAAGAAAAACTACTTTAATAAAAGAAAAAAAACAAATGACTGATGACTAAATTGAAAAAAAATAATACACTATAAATTTTAATTGAATGATAAAATTAAAAATTAATAAAACTTTAATAAAAAAGCTAATTAAAAAAAATACAATTCAAAAGAAAAAAAGATTGAAATGAAAAAAATAATATACAAATTATAATTGAAGAACTAAATTGAAAACAAACAAAATTTTTATAAAAATACTATGAAAAAAATAAAAATCAAAAAAATAAAAACTAAAATAAAAATACTAAAAATAAAGAGGATGAACACATACTTTTAAGGGGGTGATAGAGAGAAGAAGGAAACAATAGTAACCACGACTAAAAACCATTTATTTGTCGTTAACAAGTGTTGGGCTGTAAGAGGACGCAGTGATACTTCTAATAATACAGTGAAAAGATAATTGTAGCTATTGAGAGTCGTTTATATACTGAAGTGTTGATAATATGTACTGACAACTTTTTAGATTGAAAAACTAATAGAGCAATGTTAAAAGACTAAAATATCCTATCATAAGATATGAAATTAAAACAAATAATATGAAAAAATAATGTGAAAAGATGAAAATGTTTGTGGGCTAATGACTTAATTCTTTTTTTATTTAGAGTGAAAAAATATCTTTTAATTATTATTTTAGAAAATAAAAAAATAATTTTAGTCAAGGTATCTAAAATTTTTGAACCTGAAAAGTAAATTAATCATTTTATTATTCAAAAGAGTGAAAAGACGCGTGTAATCTTGAACAATCCTTTGATAATTAATGAGTTATTAGAAAAGATTAAATTAGCATCCTCATTTTATTTCAAAGGTAAAATCATAATTTCACCGTGAAAGTGAATAGTAATCCATGTGAGAATGTACAGTGATTTCTTGTAATTTAGAGTTTTTGTCAATGTTAATGTTTTTATCAGCACAAAGGAATCATGTACCGTGTCTCAATCGGAAGCTTAAAACCATTCACTTGTATAAACAAAATAAACCGACTAAATCATCTAGGTGGTAGCCAAATGATAAAGACTTGGGACTAAGGGGTTTGTTCCCTCTGTAGTCTCAAGTTCGAGTCCTTAGTTACTCATATGATGACCACTGAGGCTTACATGGTCGTTAACTTTAGGGCCCATGGGATTAGTCGTGGTGCGCGCAAGCTGGCCCGGACACCCACGTTAATCTAAAAAAAAATAAACGGACTAAAGCAAAAAAATAAAAAAAAATAAAAAAATAAAAAAAATAAACCGACTAAAGCAAGGTAGTGATCAAAACGAAGCACGTTTTCTCTTCTTTTGTTCTTCGCTTCCTCTTCTTAGCAACTCCTACTCCTGACAGTAGCATTTCAACCCTTGACCCTTCAACGAAAGATACAACAAACCGAACCTGCAAAAAGTGCGCAGAGGATTCCATGACTTTAGTTCAAGTTCTCTCCGAACAGTTCCTGTCAGTCACGCTACAAACCTTAATGGACTCGAAATAGCTGGCACGGAACTAGCTCTGGAAAACGCAAACACCACTGTTTCAACAGTCATTTATTTGTTATATTTGGTATTATGATAATTTTTATAATTATAATTTTAAAAAATTATTTTATAAAAATTATTTTTAATTAAGATTAATTTGATATTTATATATGTTTGATTAAAATAATAATTAAAATTAAAGTTAAACAAAAAATAGTTTAATGTATTTATTTAAAAATACTTTTTAAATTGAGGTTATAAAATAAGTAAAAAATATACATATATATATTAATAATTTTAAATTTAAATATTATAGATTTAATTACTATTGTTATATCATGAAATAAATAATACTTTATATAAAATATTTTTTATTATTTCATTGAACTATCTACAATTCCATTACGTACAAAATTTATTTGACAAGAACTATAGTTAATTTAATTCACTCTACATTACTTTTTTTTAAAAAACTAACTATTGTTCACGTGATTAATGCAAGTAAATTTAATTCATTTCAAACTAATTTTTCAAAAAAAGTAATATTCATATCAACATAAACAATGCAAGTGAATTGTTGACTTGAAAAAATAAATAGTATTAGTGAATTTATCTTCACTTTTTTAAAAAATTTTATTTACATGAATAGTGTTAAAACTTATTTGCATTATTCATTTAAAAAAATAAACAATACAAGAAAATTTATAATTTACTATACTCTTTAAAAAAATATTATTTAGTGAATGATGTAAATTTACTCGTATTGTTTATTTAAAAAATTAAATAATAAAAAAATAAACAGCTAAAAATTGCTTAGGCAAAACTTGTATTTTAAAGCAAAACCTGTATTTTAAATATGAAATATATCAAACTCTATTAAAAATGAATTATATTTTTAATTTTATCAAATATTTATTTTGCTGTGATTATTTCAAATGTAAAAACAAACACACTTCCGAACTTTTTGAGTTTTGACCTCCTTGCCTTGGCTTGCGGATTGTTTAGAACTATATACTTCAGTTTTCAACGGTCACCAACCACTTTGGTAGTGATGATGTTCTCTTTTCACAATGCAAATACAGCACCCATCTATGTCTATCAAAACAAAATTTCCCTACTCCTTGCTTTGATTACGGGCGGCTCGATCGAGCTAGCAATTATCCTCGAACTTGCCAGCTTTTAGCGACCTAGCCTTTCCTTACTCATGGTCATTTGAGTAAATCTCTCAGGCTGACAAAATTATGCTGCACTGTTATATTTGCAGCAGTTTTACATGCCCCAACAGCAATACAAATACACACATGAATGCTCTGAATGACCACAAACATGTCGCCTATTGTATGTCGGCCAAATCTTATTTTAAAAGCTTGGTCCTATAGTGCAAGGCCAGTTTCGTTCCTGACAACTTCAATGACGATCATAATTTTAACCTGGTCAAAGAGCACACATAATTAAAATCACAATTGAGACTTTTGGGAGGGGGGAGTGCCGTTGATATCCGCCACAGACCCATCAGGCCATCAAGTTGTTGAACTCAGAGGAGGAAGAAATCATAACTACAATATGCATGTGTTGCACGGAGAATATTATTAGGTCCTTTGACATAACAAAGAAAGAGAAGTCCATTGAAAACTGTAATTCCACTGCATATCCTACAACCTATGACCCTATAACCAACCTATGAAATACAAGAACATCCCAACCACGAATCTTTCTAGTCCTAGTTCTCAACCACTCAAGTTTTACCAAAGAGTTCCCCAGGCACAGAGGAAATGCTTCCCAAATAGGACGGCAAATAGAAGAGGAAAAGGACAGAAATAAGTCAGTCAGTCATTTACATATTAGTGAAATATTGTTCCAACAGGGACAATCGTACCAATGGTTAAGAGTTTCAAGGTATCAACAAGCACATCCCCCTGCCTGAGGCTGTGTCTGGGATGAAGCTCCACCGGAAGACTTTAGGTTCACATCAACCATGTCCTCTTGGTTTGTTGAAGAAAGTGCCTCCATTCCTGGTAAGGCTGCAGCGATTTTTCGAAACAATGGCTGCACAAAATTTCATCGATGTGAAGTAAGAGACAAAATACCAAAAGTAAATAAATACGGAAACCAATACATTCTGAATAAAAAAACAGCAGTCACGTCAAAGGACAATAAGGCATTGGATCCAAATTTTTTTTTGTGGGGGTGGGGTGGGGGGCGCCGGGGGAGGGGAAGGTCTGGGCTGTGGAGTCCAGATGTAGCTCAAATAACCATTAAATGCATATTATTGGGCAACGATGGACACCTTCAAGAGATGGCTAACTGAAAGATGGGAAGCCCACCTATCAGATTTCCTTTCTTCTCTTTGATATCCCAGACATGTAAAGATCCCTACCATTAGACAAGGTAGACATCTGGACTATGACCGGTTGAGACTTCAGAACAGAGAGAAAAAGTTATTAAAATATGTAATTAGAATGGAAAAGCATGATCTTGTAAGAGCTTAAGCAAATCAATAGACAGTATTGGAGCATATAGGGCTGTGGAGTCCAGATGTAGCTCAAATAACCATTAAATGCATACTATTGGGCAACGATGGACATCTTCAAGAGAAGGCTGACTGGAAGATGGGAAGCCCATCCATCAAATTTCCTTCCTTCTCTTTGATATCCCAGACATGTAAGGATCCCTACCATTAGACATGGTAGACATCAGGACTATGTCCAGTTGAGACTTCAGAACAGAAGGAAAAGGTTATTTAAACATGTAATTAGAATGGAAAAGCATGATCTTCTTAAGCAAATCAATACAGTATTGAAGCATGTAGGGCTGTGGAGTCCAGATGTAGCTCAAATAACCATTAAATGCATATTATTGGGCAACGATGGACACCTTCAAGAGATGGCTAACTGAAAGATGGGAAGTCCATCTATCAGATTTCCTTCCTTCTCTTTGATATCCCAGACATGTAAAGATCCCTACCATTAGACAAGGTAGACATCTGGACTATGTCCGGTTGAGACTTCAGAACAGAGGGAAAAAGTTATTTAAATATGTAATTAGAATCAAAGAGCACGATCTTGTAGGAGCTTAAGCAAATTAATTGACAGTATTGGAGCATATAGGGCTGTGGAGTCCAGATGTAGCTCAAATAACCATTAAATGCATATTATTGGGCAACGATGGACACCTTCAAGAGATGGCTAACTGAAAGATGGGAAGTCCATCCATCAGATTTCCTTCCTCTCTTAAATATCCCAGACATGTAAAGATCCCTTCCATTAGACAAGGTAGACATTGGGACCATGTCCGGTTGAGACTTCAGAACAGAGGGAAAAAGTTATGAAAATATGTAATTAGAATCAAAGAGCATGATCTTGTAACTTAAGCAAATCCAAAGCCAGGTTTGGAGAATAGTTCTTTTATTCAAAAGAGAATAATTAACTGGTCAGCAAAATAATTTCTATGCAAGCCTACTTTCTAATAGGTTCACTGAAGCAAAACAAGGCAGAGAAGAGACATAGAACCCTTTGCACAACTTTGTGAGGAATTAAAAATGTCATGATCACAAAGGTAATGGAAAAAACAATATCATGCTCTTAATCTACCCTCAATAGATTGAAAAGGAAAAGGCATGCGATGGACCTGCATCTGATTTTTCATTTGGCTCTGAACTTTCTTTCTTTTTTCTCTCTTTTTACCCTCTTCTTGGAGAGCATTGGCCATTAACTCATAGAAGATACTAGGCAGAATGATTGTGTTCATTTTAGGCTAATGAAAAACTCAACATCACCAGGACGTAGTATAGAGGGAGAGCATGAGCTAGAGAACAAACCTTGATATTAAAACCAGCTTTTGCACTAGTTTCGATAAACATGACGTTAAGGTCTCGGGCTTTAGCTTCTCCTTCTTCTATAGAAACTTGCCTGCCAAATCATCCACGGAACAAAATGTCAGTGGACATGAGGCAAGAAAAATCAAAGACTTAATTTATCAAACTGCAGAAAGGGAAAACAGCAAATAATTCAGATCTGTCAGTATTTGTTCCGACCACAGATTTACAAGCCAAAATGAGTGGCTAAGATCAAACAGATCATGGCGGACCAGTAGAAAGTAATTTCAGAAACAGTGCTTTTACTTGTGTGTGTTTGTGAGATTGTGACCCAGAGTAGACACAAAGCATCATAAACAAGCCACACTGATCATGGCAATTCTTAACAATCTAGTGCCATTAAACATTCACCTCTTCTCCACAAGGTCAGTTTTGTTCCCAACAAGGACAATGATGACATCGCTGCCCCTCTCAGTGCGAACCTCTTCAATCCATTTTGAAGTGTTCAGGAAAGATTGCCGACCTGAAACATGGACTATTGAGTTAGGAAACGTCCATGAAACATGAATGCCTTATTCCTAACAAATAGTTTGGAAGTTAGTTTAATGCGTATAAGAGGGGGAAAAAACCAATGAGACTGAATTACAATACAAGCACATAACCAAACAAGTTTATGACTTCACAAAACCAACATGCCAATCAGGGAATTAACAACAAGATAGGTGAATTTACTTGATCTCTTGAAGTACAAATTTACTTAAGATGGATAGATGACAAGGCAATAAGCAAACAATCACGATGATGATATTGCTTTAAAAACTGCATACTTGCAACATCAAATACAATGACAGCAACAGAGGAATCTCTAATGTAACTTGGAATGAGGCTTCTGAATCTTTCTTGTCCAGCTGTATCCCTGCAAGCATAGAGATTAGCAGAGAGTCAACCATCCACAAAGGAGAAATTGTCATGAGAAATAGTAAACCACACAAACATAAAAAAATCAAGATAAATAATACATGCACGTGTTTACATAATTATATCTACAAAAAAATAGGTACATGTGCATATGTCGTGTGGCTTATGCACAAATATTGCAATCATATTCATGAAAATAGTGACAGTAATATGGACCCTGACATCTACCAATGTGCACATCTCCATTTCTAGCACTTTTAAGAATACCTATCCTTCACAAGGCAGTGCCGCGTAAACTCTTGATTTATCTTCCTTCAATGAATTGCCATTCATTCTACTCAATACAAAGCTTATGCCATAATTAAATTTACGCATGTATTCAAATGTAAAATTGATCCTTGATGACCACAGCATTATTTTTTCTGTTTCACATCATATAAGTTCCATCTCCTTGGAGCGCAATATTGCATTGTCACATATGTCATGGTAATGGTATCTATATGCAAATAACCATTCATTATTAATCCTTTGCACGGTGAACTGAATACATATAGCCCCGCTAGTGAATCAAGAGTTCAGTGCAGGATTCGTGTCCAAGGATTACGCATATTGTATTTCTCAGAACAAGAACAAAATTGCACTTTGTTAAGGTGATGGATCTAACCACAACTGCAAACGAATAGTTCTGTCTTCAAGATACATGGTTTTTGATAGAAAATCAATGCCAATGGTAGCCTGTTCATCAGTTCAAGATACATGCAAGTTAGATCAGCAGCACAGGCTAAATACTTTTGAAATCATGAAGAAACAAACTATGGGTAACGACAACATCGGCCACCTCATCTGACTGACTTCCCAGAAAAAGAAAAACGAGGCAAGAATTAAAAAAAAGAAGGAAAGATTATACATCAACGAGAACAAAGCATAATTACAATTTTCTAACGACGAAACACCACATTCTATATATAAAAAAAGAACCCCGAAAATAATCAAAATTCCTTGACTGTAAAATGAAAGATCTCACAAAAAAATTATCATGTTCATTTATACGATAGTGCGATCTTTCAAAGAATAAGTAACTTCAAAACCCAAACAAAGGGTATGTCAAAACAACAATACATATCAGTGCACAAAAAAATAAACAGATTTAGAACAAGATGAATCAGAGTCCGAGGCAAAACGAATAATAATGATCTGGGTTTTACCTGGTAGGTGTTATCGAATTTGTCATACATGAAGCGAGTGATGATGCTGGTTTTACCGACTGATTGGTCTCCCAAGAAGACCAGCTTGTACTTTGCAAGAGCTGAGACTGGTGCCATTTTTTTCAATTATTTTTTCGGAGATCCGTAAATGGCCGATTAACCAAATCGGAGAGAAATGGATATTTATAGGTATTTGCTTTAAAGTTGTACAGTGTTTGTGCTTGGTGATTGAGCTGCGCAAATAGCTGAGAAATTCTTATGAAGAGAAGACTGATTATCGGTATTTGACGTTAACGGGTCGGGTTGAAGTTTTGATTGTTTCCGGCATACTTCTGAGACCCGGTCCGGTTGAAGACCTAAATTTCAAGTTTTAACTGGATTATTAGCTTATTTCGGTCAGTTTTTTTAATTAAAATAATATTATTTTAATAAAAAAAAATCAACCAGTTATTGACAGGATCTTGACGAGTTAACAAGATCAATCCTCAATATCCCATCAGGTTTTATCTTTTCTCATTTTTTTTTTTAATCCAACTCGATTCTAGCATTGGATTAGCCAATTCTCATATTAACCTATATAATTAAAACCAAGATTTAAAAACTATAATTTCAGCTTTTATCGAGTTTTAACTCTTAACAACGTTAATTAGTAAGCTAAAGGTACACATCAATACATGGTGAATTACAACATTAATTCAAGTTTTTTTTTTGTTTTTTAAAATTATTTTTATTATTTTTATTTTTTTAATATTAAATTGATTATAAATTTTATTTTGTAATTTAAAAAAAAAAATATTGTGTATTGCTATAGTATTTTTCACATAATTTTTTATTTTATTTTTTAAAAAAATTATTTTTGTTGATTTTATTTTTTTAATATTAAGTTAATTGAGAATTTATTTTTATAAATTTTTTCTTTAAAACATTGTTGATTACTACAGTATTTTTTCACATTGTTTTTTTATGATTTTATTTAAAATTATCTTTTTTAATATTAAGCTGATTAATAATTATAGTTACAATATGTGGGGGAAGCACTGTAGCTTTCCTCGTAAATTACTATAGATTGCTATAATCTTTCTTCCCATATAGTTTGTTTTATTTTTTTTCTAAAATTATCTTTATCAATTTTATTTTTTAATATTAAATTGATTTAGAATTACAATTACAATTAAATACAAATAAGGCTAAATTACGTAGGGAAAACACTTTAACTTTCCTCACAAAATATTATGGATTGATATAATTTTTTTCTTAAATGGTTTTTTTTCCAATTTTTTGTGTTTTTTTGAAATATTTTTTCCAATATTATTTTTGTCAATGTTATTTTTTTAATATTGAGTTGTTTATAATTTAACCTTGTAATAAGACTTAATTATGTGGGAAAAACACTACAGTTTTCTTCACAAAATATTATAGATTGCTACAATATCTCTCCACATAGTTTTTTTCTTATGATTTTTTTAAAATTATCTTTGTCAATTTTGTTTTTTTAATATTGAGTTGATTGAGAATTACAACCATAAGTATTTACAAATAAAACAAAATCATGTGGAGAAGCATTGTAGCTTTCATCACCAAACACTATGAATTGTAACAGTTTTTTTAACATGGTTTTTTGTCCTTGTTTTTTTTGTGTTTTTTTCAAAAATTATTTTTATCAAATTTTTTTTAATATGAGCTGATTAAGAATTTAGTTTTATAATTTTTTTTTTAAACACTGTGACTTGCTGTAGTGTTTTTTCACATAATTTTTTTATGATCTTTTTAAAATTATCTTTGTCGATTTGTTTTTTGAATATTGAGTTGATTAAAAAATATAATTACAATAAAACTAAATCATATGAGAAAAGCATCGTTGTTTTCTTCAAAAAACACTATAGATTGCTATAATATTTCTCAAAATGGTTTTTTATAATTCTTTCTAAAATTATCTTTGTCAATTGTATTGAGAAAAACACTGTAGTTTTTCTCACAAAACATTGTCAATTGCTACAACATTTTTTCTCATGGGGTTTTTCCTTTCAAAATTATCTTTGTTGATTTTTTTTTTTTTAAAATAAGTTAATAGAGAATCTAGTTTTGTAATTTTTTTTGCTTTTTATCAACATAAACGTTAAATCATGTGGCGAAAGTATTGCATTTTTCCTCACAAAACACTGTGAATTGCTACAAATTATTTTGTTAAGTTTCTAAGTTTTTAATCACCAGCATAACTTTTTTTTCATCATAAAATATTAGCTTTATCATACTTTTAGTTTCTATTACTTATCTAGCGCTGATTTATAATTATAACATTATTAAGTACATTTGTGTTTATAAACCTACAATAGTGTGCAGGCATTCCATCTCGTATTTATTAAACTCAATAATGTTACAATGACTTGTTGATAAGATGCCTTACTTGTATTAGGTTTTATTTCAAATCATTTTGGATATTGAAATAACTAAATCCAAGCTATTCATTTTGCAAGTTAATTCATTACTCGGGTAACCCAGTTAAACCTATATAAGTTTTTACTAGGTTATTATTAATGATTTTTTATTTTATTTTTATCTAAAATAATATTGCTGTAAAATTGATCTAAATTGATCACATGACGACCTTATTTAAACCTAAGCTTTAATGACCAAGTCTAAACTAGATCTAATAACAATTAAAATAAAATTAGATGGGGTGGTGAATTTATTCTATACTTAGACACATTTGAACGTGGACGGGAACAATAAATTAATGCATTTATCCTTTTCTAACAAACCATTAACCTAGTTATTAGGAGCAATAATATAATTTATTAAGGACCATTTAGTTATTATTATATTAATTGAGGACAACAATATTTTTTATTTATTATTTGCACAATATAATAACTAAAATACCTTTAAAATCAAAATAAATCTAACTTAAGTTTAAGAGTTCATTCAGCATTTTGTTTTATTACCCTAGTAATCATGATTTTTTAAACTTGAAATTAAGGGTTGATTCATTTTTTTCTCATGATTTTTTAATGATAATCAAGTCAAATTAGAGGTAATTTTGTATTTTATAAGATTAAAAATATTTTAAAAAATTATCGATGTGTGTGATGGCTTAAGGTAGAGGAAATTAGCCATATGCAGTGGTGTTATAAAGCTCTTGACAACTCTTTTCCCAATGAGATGACGCGTGATGGTTTGTATAGTAGTTTGGTTTTAACAATTTTTTTTTTCTTTTCTTTATGATAAACAAGCTGTCCAATCAGAAAATCTTTAACTTTATTTTATCACCTTTAGAATTATAGATTTTTTAAACTTTGAACTAAGAGTCAATTCATCTTTCTTCTCATAGTTTTTTTCAGTGATAATATAACCAAGTTGGAGATAATTTTATATTTTATAATATTAGAAAGTAGAATAACTATCAACCATTAAATGATATTATCTCAAATAATTATCCTTGAACTAGGTTAAATTATATATTATTTTCTCCATGCAAGTTGGTGTGTTTTAAAGGTATCAAAACACATATGAAACTTTAAATAAGGTTAATCAATTCATTCACTCCATACATTTCTTCTTTTTTTTGGCATTTTCACTTATAATTTTTTTTTTAATTATTCCACATGAAATAATAACTAAATTCCATGTATCTCTTAATTGGTGCACTTGAAATTAATTTAACATATGGTGTAAATTAAACTATATAATAAGACATGCAAAACAACAAGTCAACTTCAATAATATGTCATGGTCTTAATTCATCATTTCAAGCAATTATATAGCCATATATTTTGCTAGGTCAAATATTTTGGTCATTAGATAATTTGAGGCCATATACATATCACTGGATACTAGTTTTATTACTAAGTAACTAATTGTATTATTCATTATCAGTTAACTATTTCCACCATCCATTACTAGTTAGCTATTTTTATTGTTCATTATCGTCTATTACTGGTTAACTATTTCCACCATCCATTACTCGGCACTAGTTCCATTACATTTTAACTACTTGCACCATACATTGTTAGATAATAGTCATATTATCAGATAACTAACTTCACATGTATTATAATTAAAATATTAACATACCTGATAAGATCAAAAGATTGATATCTTCTCCCAAGTGCAGGAGTATCGAAGTAATAAATAACCCGGCAAGACCGGGGTCGAACCACAAGGAAGTTAATTGTACAAATTATAAACAACAATAATAGTAATAATAACAACAACAACAATAATAGTAGCAATAATAATACTAATATAATAATAATAATAATAATAATAATAAAGAAAAAGAAGGAGAAGAAGAAGAAGAAGATGAGAACTTTGAGATGGAATATTAATGTAACGATTAAACAATGATAATAACAAATGTCAAGGTTAGAGGTTCCACTAATGGTATATCAAACAAGTATAGTATAAACTCTTATTATTGAATTGGAAACCACACACAAAGGAGGTTCCAATCAGATTATATATTGTTAACATGATTACATTAGTCATCTTATTCAATTAATGCTAATACTTGTAAATCTCGTCAAGCATTCATGATTATAACTTATGTTAACAATAAATCAAGTTCCTTTCATAGCTCAGGTGTCGGTTATACCATACATTATGGGCTATGAAAGTGCCAAGCATTTGTTGTACCAAGTGTTATACAACATAAATCAAGATTAGTTATTTAACAAGCAAAGTATTAAAGAGTGAACAAGATAACAAATATAAAACATGTTAGTATCAAACATTAAAGTCCATATTAAGTTTACATTATACTTATTCTTACACCATTAGTGTAACCTTTTCACCTTGACATAATTAACTTAGCTAGACATAATGAAAGAAAGCAAAATAGATAAACAAAATAAGAACATAAAAGTTAACTAAGTAAAGGAAAGGAAATGAAAGGCATAAACTTAATATTAATGAAAACAAAGCATAAAAAATACAAAGAGAGAAAGGAAGAGCATGATCTTGATCTGAACACCAAGATGCCTAAATGCATGGCAAATGCCTCCTTTTATAGGCCAAAAATGGGAACTATTGATTTGATGACTAATTGATAAGTGGGTGGCCAACTTTTGACTTGGTGACAATCTTTATCTTCTCTTGTCTGCCCAAAACGTCATTGATAACGTCAAAACTGGAGCCAGTTGCAAACATGAAAGTTGTAGGCAATTGTCTCAGCTTTCTTGTGTAAAAAATTCAGCTCATTTGGACTTCTAGAACTCCAGATATGGCCAAAATACCGAACAGTGCTCGGGCTGGAAGACAGATTCGGGCTTCTTTGTTGTTTCTACAATTTGGACTTGATAATGGCCTTTTTAGATCTTGGGCTCCATATGAAAGTTGTAGGCCTA